ATATTTTTCTGTTTGAAGTGATTGAGAAATAGTTTTTCCATCTTTAAATTATAGTTTCTTCAGTTCAGTAACAAATAGTTCTTCTATATCCTTCCTTATTTTTTTACCTTTGTCACCCGTTTTAATAGGAAAAAAGACACTGATGCCAAAATAGTTTGTTTACCGTGAAAGATCAGAGCCAAAATAGGGTTGTAAATAATTTTATTGATGTATAAACAACATTATCATTTTATATCAAAATCTCATTATACATGTAAAAGGAACTTTATAATTTATAATTTAAAAATCTTGTAAGAAACTTTAAAAAAAAAGTGATTAAATTACACGCCTTTATATTAATGATGTCTCTTCGGAAGTAATTCTATAGGCTCAAGTAAAAGTGTTATATAATTGTATATTTACATAAATAATTCTTTCTGGAGAAGAAAACTCGATAGAAAAAACTTTTCTTAAACTTACCCTATTTTTGTTGGTGGTGTTCCAACATCTAGCTTCGCATATTACAGTGACAAGGGGGTCGAATTGCTCATGCAAGTGCAACAGAAACTTTTGCCGTTGCCTCGGTGTCCCAGCAACCACCAGGAATCCACCAAACTCGACGAAGACGGTTGCGCATATCAACAGCACCACCGCGATCATAGCCACCCGTGTCCTCGTCGGCTTGTCGCGACCAGCACTAGTTCGCTCCTCGTTTGCTTGTTTGATTAAGCTGATGAAGAGGCACAGCACACTTAGGACAACTTACTGTTGTGGTGGCACCGACACAGCCACCGTTGATCTAGATATTCTACGGATGGAAAACTGGTGCTACGATACCGAGTGTCGCAGTTTTAGGGTTCCATATCTCCAATGGGAAAAAGGAACTCTTTTAGGATCACTTCCTTGTTCTTCCGCTTGTCTGCCTGTCAGGGTCCTTTTTTTCAGGAATGCGTGGAAGTATCAAGTTGAAATTAAAATCAAATATTCAGATATGAAATCCCTTGGAGCTGTGACGAAATGAAACTTGTATGTCAACGCAATCAAAAGACACTCGCAAGGAAATCAAAACCTGTAGGTACTTCCCATTAACCCAGAATCATGAAAGGTAAGAAGCAATGACTCATACCACAAGTAAAGGGAAATATCAGAAAATAACAAATTTGTAGTTGTATCACAAAAAAAAATTAATTATACGTCTTGGGGAGTGATTTTGGAGAAAACTTAATACATACTCTGAAAAAGCGAGGAAAATCTTCGAGACTTTGGAATCCTCGGTGCGTGAGTCCGAAGACTGGTCTTCACTCTCTTGCTATCGTGTGCAAGTTATACTTGATTTTGTTTTATTGTCGTAATGTTAACAATATTTAAATTTCGACGTCAAATTGATTTAATGCTTTTTTTGATTCTTCATTAACAAAAATATTTCGTTTCTCCGAAATGAATGCGTTAACTTCTTAAGTAATGTTGTCTGTGGTGCATTCACTGTGTAATGTGCTATTTAAAACTAGTCTTACGGAGCATGTTATATATCAAACTTAAACTTTTAATATTTCCTAACAGCCGAAATTATATCGTCAATAAATTTAAATAAAATTAAGACTATCGTAGGTTGAATGCTAAAATAAAACACAAGATTTTTTCAACAATATTATAATTAAAAAACAACTCGACAATTGTTTCGACCTTCTCGGTCATTTTCAAGAATACAGAAAAGTAACTAAGACTAACATGTAAATTTTCAAAATTTACACTTAACATAGGAGAGTGGGGCTCCCATAGAGACAATGATAAAATAACATGGGACTTAAAATTTATCAATAAGTAAAAGTGAATTAATGGTTAGTGATTCTCTCTGATAATTCACTAATGTTTTTCCTGTTGCTTGAAGAGCGTTCTTGATCTCCAGATTATTTAAAAGTGGAAGTGTTTTACTTTTTGTTAGCGTATGTAACAATTTTACATCGTTTAAATCTTTATCATGTTGATTTGTAATGCAATATTCCGTTAATACCGTTGTAACATTTTGTTTTTTTACACTTTGAACATGTTCTTTAAGACGAGTAGTAATAGAACGCCCACTTTGTCCAATGTATATAGCTAAGCATGTCGCACACTTAAGTTGATAAACTTAGTTACTTTTCGTACTCTTGAAAATGACCGAGTAGGTCGAAACAATTGTCGAGTTATTTTTTAATTATATTATTGTTGAAACATTCTTATGTTTTATTTTAATATTTTAAAATTTAAATTAAGTTTGCGAAATTACTCCTAAAGTGTTCCTGTACTCGGAAAATAAATTGCTATGTAAGGATTAGAGTTTGAGGAATTGTCCTTCACTCCTGGATAACTGGTGCCATTATCCCCTCTCAGCCAGATCCTTAAAAAGGATCCACCACGTGTCCATCCCATTTCTAGTTATTTGTATGCTGTTAAGGTACAAACGACCAGACATGTGCAAAATGTATTTAAATACAAAATACAAATATTTTTTTGATTTGTTATTTCAAATATAACATACAAAATAGATTTACCTTTTGTATTTTAAGTGCTAAATGTAAAATGCGTAGTTTCAAAAGATTTTTTTGTAGCACCTATTTAATTTTCTACATTTAAGTATAAAATATTTTTTGAGAAAACCTTNAGCTGCAATAATTAAGTATAATTCATATTTTTCTGTTTGAAGTGGTTGACATATAGTTTTTCTATCTTTATGTTATAGTTTCTTTCGTTCAGCAACAAATAATTCTTCTGTATTCTTCCTTATTTGCCTTTGTCACCCGTTTTAATTGGAAAAAAGACACTGATGCCAAAATAGTTTGTTTAGCGTGAAAGATCAGAGCCAAAATAGGGTTGCAGATAATTTTATTGATGTAAAATCAACATCAATCATTTTATATCAAAATATTTACAACCCCATTTTGTTTCCGATCTTTTACTCGTTGAATAAGAGAAGGAAATGAAATCCATAGTTTTTTAGCTTTGGGTTCATCTAATAAGTAAAGTTTTTCGAATCCTTTTCCAAGAATTTTGGATTATAGGCATTTATTAGCACATATCAATTCGATATTGTTTTGCGGGCTGTTTTATCGTAATTCATAGAATTTCGTAGATTCTTGCTAAAGGTAGGACAATTGGAGATTTGGCAGGTGCTGATATCAATTTGGAACTTCAAAATTCCATGAAGCATGATATGGAACCCGGAAAACAATATCGATCCAGTATTTTAGATTATCCATTTCCAAGGAGTTTAGAATTTTTTGGGCTCTCTTCAGTTAAAGAATTGGAAGGCATTCATGGAATGCCTCTTTGTCCCCTTTTTAAGATTTTAATACCTTCAATGGCTAATGTGAGCAACTTTCATTCATAATTATATATAATGTTTGATCAGTGGTACTAGCAGAAATTTTAACGCCAAAAATGTATTTTGCATTTTACAAATAAAAAATACGTTTGAAAAAATATTTTAAATAAAATACCAAATGCTTTTCTCGAAAAAGTATTTAAATGCAAGATAAATTAGGCATTTTTTATTTTGTATTTGCATTTTAAATACAAGTATTTCAAATAAATCACATCTCTGCAAAAGACCCTTAGAAGATGTTGTACCTGTTTATCCGTTTGTTTGTCTGGCTAATCTTTCGAAATGGTTGAACCTATTTCGTTACAAAATTTATGAAAAATTGAGTTAGCTACTTCTAACTTCTAGCCAGACAAATATCAAAGCCTTGATAATAGGAATCCGTTGCCTTTGGGCATGGAATCCTAAAAAATCTTGTGTTTAATAACGAAGGGCAACTTTGGATGTAGATCAATAGAAATATAAAGTATAACAATGTAGATTTAGATTATTTAAACGTTTATTTATTATCAACAACCAATCAATGATATTAATTTTTATAGATGACAACTAAATTCTATTATTTAGATTTAGATTATAATCATTTACAGTTTTATTTTCAAGTGCTGCAAATATTTGTGGATAACTTTTCTTAAAATGTTATTATCTTGCGTAACTTATGTATGCTGTTAGAAGAAGTTCCTATAAATAATTACGAATAGTTTAAATAATTTTCATCAAAGCTATCTGAAAACATTCACACAAGTATAGGCTTTCAAATGAAATAAATAATCAATACATCTATACAAAGAATTAGATAATTTATTGATAGCAAGTAGTTGTAATTTTTTGTATTGAAATTGCAAAAAAATATTTTACATTAAAAAAAAATACTGAGTAATATTCGTTATTATTTAAAATAAATCGCTGAAAGTACATCGAATAATTAATTTTTTCTGTTTCGTCGTACATAAATATTTATGTAATTTCATTTCGTTGCTATCTTGAATTATATTTGTTAGAAACTTAATGCGTTTAACTGTATATTGATTAGATTACTCTCTGATTATTGTGTTGCCTATAAACAGAGTCCGGATCTGTACTAATAATAAAGTTAATTCGTAGTTCATTAATTGTAACGAACTTGAGCAATTTATGTTAGTTGTAATAATAAAATAAATTAAGTGTTATTATTACAAGTGTCTATATGGTTAAATGGGATCTTATTTAAATAGCTAATGATAGATATGTTTTATTAAGGATATTAGCCAATTAATTCCAAAATTCTACATTCTTTTTCAAATTCGTATTTTATATGATTATAAATTCTCATTTTAAAAAATGCCTTTATTGTAATATATTAATTAATTACTTAAAACTAGTGAATATATTGATTAATGAAGTTATTTTATTGTGCGAACTAAAGAATGATTTAATTTTATCATTGAAACTAAATTTTTAATATTAAATCCTGTTTATTTATGATATACATATATTTCTTTATCCTGTACTGTAAAAAATGACTTAATTCTTATCGTATTTTACGATTATGTGCTTATAAATGCTTTTAAGTATATTATTTTTAATTTTTTTCACATAAGTCAGTAACAGTATGGGCGAATTGTAATGATTGTAATACATTTTGGAGATTTTTATTCCAGTTAATGATTACATTCACACAAAAGTGTTGAATGTAATATGTAGATGCAATTATTATTTAAGTTCATTCATAAAACAAACTATTTTTATTAATGAGAAGTCCATTACTGTATATGTTGCATCAGCATTCTAATTTTGTTATAGTGCAGAATTAAAAATAGGTTCTTAATGTTATTTTCAGTTACAAGGAATAAATTTTTAATTTAATTGATTACAATTGTTTTGTTATATGTAATTCGATATAGAAATAAGCGTTGTAAAACTTGGGTGGGTGGGAATAGTTGCCAGATTATTGCTTATGACTCATTGTCATTTTGCTTCAGATCGCACATCCTGATCGTAAATTACAATAGACAGTTTATTGGATTTTTTATATGTATATGTGCTATAGATTATGTCTGTTGTAATCAATTAATAACACTGTATTTCTACGAAAGGTATGCATGCAGTTGTATTAAGTTTTATTTCCCGTTTATTTGTATTTGCCGCGCTGATGTCTTGGCCTTGAAACAGCAGAGCCTCCTATGTGAATATGTATTAGTGAAAAATGGTGTCTGTTGAAAGATTGCTAATGAACTAATAAAGTGATTAACTCAGAAATAAAAGAATTGGTACATGTGAAGGTCTTAAAACTACATTTGTAATATTAATGGTGAGTAATTTGTTTCGGAGAATATGTAGTGATGAATGCAGTTTCCAAGTAATTTCATGGCTGGTTGCAATTATGGGGTGTATCATAATAGTAACGTTCGAATTTGTAACACGTTTTTTACAATTATGTACATAAACAATGAAAATAGTAATGAAATTTACATTGTCTTGCCAGGATATTTCTTTATGTTTTTAACAGTAAAGTGATCCATAGCGAAGCAACATGTGACCCCAATCTTTACCGCAATTGAATAAGTATTCCATTTTTAATTTCAAACTGTAAATAAAACGTAACAGATAGAAATTAATTTAATAGAGCACATCTAATTTAAAGTAATAATACCTCTTAATTAACTACAAAATTGATAAACGTGTGTTTGTTAGTAAGTAGTACTGTCTAGCAATGACTTGGTTTAATAAAAGAATATTTTCGTTGCTTCAGGAAGTTTCGTGATTAGTTGAAAGACGTTACGAAAAAAAAATGAAAGAAAGGACTGGACGTGAATCGAAGATGTCTTAACCAAAAATGCTGTGCAAAAGTGAAACAAGAATATGTACCATAATGAAGGTTGTGACGCTATGAGTGCACTAAATTGATCTTCAAAAAATGATTTTCGTAACAGATTTTCAAATCAAATAAAAATGTCCGACAACGACAACTGCCGTTACATTGTGCAAGTGTATGTGGGTGCCTTATCAGACCTCTATGAAGCCCTCTCTGTTGAGGCCAGTAAGCAGACAACAGCTGAAGAAATTGTGTCATGTATCGTGGAACGATTATCTCTGAATGAAAATCCTGGAGGAGGTAGTTATGAGCTAGCAGAAGTTATTGGAGATGCACTGGGACGAGAATGCAAAGAAAGAAGTCTGGGGCCAAGGGAAAGCCCTGTACAGGTTATGTTACTTTGGCCAAAGGGTCGGACTGATCAATCCTCATATCGCTTTTACTTGAGAGAAAAAGTGAACGATTTCATATGGACAGATAACTTTACAATGGACCCCCAGTTGATTCGAGATTATTTTTATAGATTTCTTTACCAGCCAAAAGATAGAGAGTACCCAGATCTGTGCCAGTTGCCAGATTTAAATGAACAAACTCTGCTTGATAATTTACGTGCAAGGTTCAATGCTGGTCATATTTACACCTATGTTGGTTCAATTCTTATAGCCATTAATCCATTTAAGTTTTATCCCATTTACAATCCCAAATATGTGAAATTGTATCAGAATCAAAGGCTAGGGCCTAACTTACCACCACACATATTTGCTGTAGCTGACTCTGCCTATCATTGCATGTTGAAGGATAGGAAAAATCAGTGCATAGTGATTAGTGGGGAAAGTGGGTCGGGTAAAACAGAGAGTACAAATTTTCTTTTACATCACTTGACGGCTCTTAGTCAAAAAGGATCACATGGCAGTGGGGTGGAACAGACCATACTAAGTGCAGGTCCTGTTTTGGAAGCATTTGGGAATGCAAAAACTGCTCACAATAATAATTCCAGCAGATTTGGAAAATTTATTCAGGTATGCAAATTAAATAAAATTCAATTTTCACATTATTATTGGAAGGGATTCCTAAATAAAATACAAATATTTTGGTAAATGTTAAAATATTCAAATTTGACCATTTGTTTTTGCGAAATTTTGATTTGCTTCATTTTCTTTGTCTAAATAGTATTCATGGTCTTAATAATGAAATATCCTGCTTTTTTATAAAGCTTGAAACCCATCTCATTGGAAATCTTGAATTTATTTTTTCTATTGGTCTATAATGTTCTAATATTTTTAAAAATCTTTTTCATTTGCTTTTGAAAGATGTTACTATTTGAGCATTAATTATTTTCTCACTTATAAACATTTTTATTATACTATTTTCTTTATTTTTGTTATTTAAGGTTTGTTTATGTAGGCTGTTTTTGACCGAAAATGTATTCTCATATTAACAGGTGAACTATAAAGAAAATGGAATGGTTCATGGTGCTGTAGTCCAAAAATATTTGTTAGAGAAATCACGCATTTGCTCTCAGGGTAAAAATGAGAGGAATTATCACGTTTTTTATTATTTATTACAAGGAGCCAATGAACAAGAAAAACAAAGTTTGCACTTAGAAAGCGCTGATCATTACAACTATCTTAATAAAAGTGGATGTATTTCATTAGGTTTGTATTGTATTTGTATGAAGATTTTTAAAAACTAAAATGCCCTTTATAAACTCATTTGTTGCATGTGTGGGTGTGTCTTTGCAATTGCATTTATGCTGTTATTGAATTTATGTGTGATTGTGTCATATTCATTATTTATATTATCATTTTAATATATACAAATGTGCCTCATTAGTTTGTCTTGATTTCATATTTTGTTTTCATGGTACCTACCTTCCTTCAGCCTGACCTTTTTTGTGTTGCTTTGTTATTTCCAATTTGCTTCTTTCTTTCTAAAGCTTAATTTATCTTATTGATCCTTATTATTTCATTTTTCATATATGTATAACTTATTCTTCCTTCTAGTTTTTTTGTCATAAAGCATAATTTATCTTATTTATTTTTTTGGTGTAAAACCATTCATTTAAGTTTCTTCTTTTCACTTGTCTTTATCTCATTAGATACTTCATGATATGAAAAGTTTTGCTGATTTTTTCAATCCCCAACCACCTTTGGCTATTTTGCTGCATATTCTCTTTTTTTTGTAAAATCTTCCTTTTGTTGTCATTAGCTTTGTATAAGGCCATTGTCATCATTGAATTAATATTTGTATAATTTTATTTTAATTTCTTGTAGATAACGTGGATGAGAAGTACGAATTTTCTCGTCTGAAGCAATCAATGGAAATGGTCGGTTTTACTGCAGAAAAACAGCGTCGTCTTTTCTCTGTATTATCAGCCGTTTTGCTGCTAGGGAACATCGAATTTCAGCCACGAAAAGCGACCTATCATCACGATGATGCGGTTTGTGTAAAAAACCCAGAAGTGGTTTCGATTATTTCCGAATTGCTGCGAGTTAAACAGGAGACTCTTTTGCAAGCTCTGACGTCTAAAAGGGCTAGAGCTTCTGGGGAAACTTTAATAATAAATTATCGCATGCCAGAAGCCATTGCTAGCCGAGATGCCATGGCCAAATGTTTGTATGGGGCTCTGTTTGACTGGATAGTTCTCCAGGTAAGTTCTAATTATTGAACATTAATTAGTAAGTTTAGTTAAATACGTTGGTATTTTCGAAGTAGTTTAGTTTGAAAATTACATACAGTTAGTGATAATGGCCCAAGTTTTACTGGATAATTTAGGTTAATGCTGGAGCAGTTATATTTTACAATCATTCACTTCTCTTTTGTCTCCATTTCGTTCATATTATCTGTCTCTTCACAATCATTGCTCACCCATTCCTACGATTACTAAGAGGAGGGTGAAGGAACTGTCTGCTCGTCAGTATTAGTAGTTGGTGGGAGTGGAGTATGCAGAAGTGTTTTTTGGTAAAATTTAAACTATTTACTTTGTTTAAAGGTTAATCATGCGCTCCTGTCAAAAAAGGATACCTTACGGGAACATCAGGGTAATTCTATAGGTGTTCTGGATATATTTGGGTTTGAAGACTTTGGGCTGTGCAATAGTTTCGAGCAATTATGCATTAATTATGCTAATGAACACTTGCAATATTACTTTAATCAGCATGTTTTCAATTATGAACAACAAGAGTATAGAAGAGAAGGAATTCGATGGACTAACATTGAATTCATGGATAATACAGGTTGTCTGCAGTTAGTTGAAGGGAAACCCAATGGAATTTTGTGCATCTTAGACGACCAGTGCAAGTAAGTATTGTACTTCAGCCGAGCATAGTAATTTTTCTGTGTTAATGTTAGTTAAGAAGTATTAAAATCAGGTATATTCAGTACATAGTTTGAAATTGTGAAACAAATTGTTTAAACTGTGCATATACTTGCAGTAACGTTCTAAAAATGTTAAATGTAGGAAGAAAATATTTAACAAACAAATATTACATCTGCGTGTAGATATTATACGTATATAATAATAATTAATGTTTACATTTTTGAATATATTAGCTTCCGAGTTTTGTTAAAGGTGTAGTAATGGGTACAAAATATTTTTTTTAAGATGAAAATTCATCTATTTATATCTATTTACACGTGAAAATTACGTGGGGTATGAAATGCAATATTGGTAAAGTTTCAAAAATTAAAATAAACTAAAAATTCGAATCGCATATATTTTTTTCGTCTCAATAACAATATGCACAAGGTCTAATTTCACTCATCAAATTTAACATTAGAAAAAAAAATTAAATTCAGAAAGTTTTACAAATCTTGAAACTCATCTTTTCTTTTTGCATTAGTTTTCCTGGTGCAACGAACGAGACACTTTTACAAAAGTTTAATTCGATGCATCGCGACAACAATTGGTATCAACAACCCCAAAAACGAGAAGCTGCATTTATAGTTGTCCACTATGCGGGCAAAGTTAAGTACCAGGTGACGGAAATGCGTGAGAAAAATCTTGACTTGATGCGACAAGATATTGTAAGCGTACTAAAAAACAGTTCCATGGCTTTCGTGCGTGAACTGGTTGGCGCCGACCCGGTGGCTGTTTTCAGGTGGGCGATAGTGCGCGCCTTCTTCCGCGCTTATTTCGCGTTCCGAGAGGCGGGAAAGGTGCACAGGCAAAATAGGGTCGATGGAAGCAAGATAAACGTGCAGCAACGATATAGGAATCATGTTCCCAACGAAAATATCATCAGGTGAGTAAGGACGAAGTGTTGAGAACTACGAAATATTTAGGCTTAATGTTTTCATTTTACTTCTATTTTGTTTTTCGTTAAGCTTTGGACCCATCAAGGAAATGACAATGACGAAAAGTACTGCTGTACTATGCATTATTTAAAAGGAACTGTTAGTATTTTTTGCTTGATATTTTACAAAGAAAGATTAAAAACTGTAGGGCCGTAATTAAAACGTAGGGTATCTGCTTTGTATTAAAAGATCTAGAAGCTAATGAACTTTGGGATGTAAAGATTTCAGAAGTTTATTTTGATGACACTTATTGTGAATGAGATATCCTGTAGGAGCTGATTTACTATGCTTACTACCTTCATTATCTCAAGATCCTCATCACTAAGTACATGTAAACAGTAATCTAATCTTCCTCTGCCATTTGCACTTGTAGTAATTTTTTTCGAAGTGATTTGTTTTATGTTCTTACCGCATTCCATCCTAAGTTACTTAACTTCTTAGATGCCGAAAATCGGCTCTTCTAATTGTTACATACTTTACAGCATTATTTAAGTCTTATGGTTTAAAGGAAAGATAATCGTTTGGTCCATTGTTCAATTTTTTTTCGTAACTTTCATTACAATTTCAAAAGGGAGTATTTCCTGTGGGGTCGTTCATAAAATACGTCACCTATAATTTCACCGTTTTAGATACCTTCCTTCCTTCTTGCTAAGTCACACTTTTAGCAACCCTCTAATAAATATTACGTCACAAAAAGCTACCCCCGCATCTTAATGAAAATTTTTAAGAACCACCAAGTTAAAAAACACATTAAGACCAAATTGATGAGCTGCTAATGGCACATTTCCTTAGACCGCCTCCCTCCTTGTATACCTCGTCACATTAAGCAATACCCCTCCCTCCCTCTTATTTGCGAATGTATTTTATGAACAACCTCTAAGCAATTATGTTACGGAAATAAAATATCGTTTTTTTTTGAGAGAATCTGTTTGAATTTGTCATTGTCGTTTTCCTTGCTTACGATTGACAGCAGTTTTTTTACTATGTTCAGTTTAAATTGTTCTGGGTGGGAAAATATTCTTATTACGTCAATTTTTCCAGCTGATTTGTTGTGCTTTTCAGTGTTTCATTTAATGGCCAGGAATAAAACTGCGAAGTAAAAGTGAACTTTGTTAAAATTTGATACTGGGTGGGCATTTGATAAGATAAATAATTAAAAATAAATAAATAATATTATTGGGCAGCAAAGATCTGATTTGAATTTGTTTTCATAGCTATCTAGTGACCGTTTCGACTGTAAATCTGACAGTAAACCGAATTGCGTAAGTTTTGAAAATGGTTGCTGCTCTTATTGAAAAACTCTTTCCTTCCTCTTGATTTAGTTTACTTTCGATTAGAGTGTATCAGGTGACCATTGAAATTAAAATAAGATAATTAAATTTGTTAAACATGCCTCGAGCAGCGCAGAATACATACTTGATTTACTTTCGTGATGTAAGCGGACACCTGGTATATCGTTTTTTTTCCTTGTGGAGTTGTCTTCATCTCCATTACATTACAGTGTGACCTTAATGCTCAATCGCGCCCAGTGTGTAATTCTTCCGTCTTATCATGCTCATCATCTACACATGTAAATGTTTAACGTACGGAGAAAATCGGATAATAAATGAAAATCAATTTTCTCCGTACGAATTTTCTTTGCATGGTTAGTTTTTTATGGTTAATTGGTTTTTAATTTCGCATGTGGATGTTGTGCCGTTAAAGTTACTAAATGTCCCCCGTTTTTAATAACAATAATACGTGCAAGAAAATAGGAAAGAACACACTGAATAGAAAAATGATGGAAATCGGTTTTTTTTTATTTGTGGCGGATTTAATTAACAAGAAATGTACGATAATAGTTCGTGACAAGGAATGGGAGATATTTTTAAGTGATGGCAATTTATTTATGTCGAAAGAATTTAGTACTATCGAAGTTTACTTGTATACCACCATTCTTTAATATGTAATGCTAGCAATAATAAGGAGTTGTCTATAAAATTTCACCTTTTTGGACTCCTCCCTTCTCTTTCGTCACGTTCAGTGACCCCCCTAACTAACTATTCATTATAATCTTTCGCTAGGTGCAGATAGAAGTGATTATAAACTGATTGTCAGTATCTGAAGTCAGTAAATAAAAGATAATTGCCATAATAACATAAATAAATCTGCTAGGAAGTGCTCTTCAATCGGTTTGATTGTAAAATTAATTTACTTGCTGTGTCTTTAACATAATAAGCTTAGTTCCTTGTCACGAACTGTATCATATTTTTCCAACGATTATCAACTTCAACCAAGGATGTCAGAACGGTAGGATGCTGATTTTCACTGGGTATTTTTCTTCGCTTAGCAGCCGACAACGCAATTCACTATCGTACGGTAGAGTGGCCGATGTGCCATACACAAGACAGCACTTAATCCAACGCACGCGCACAACTAGCTTGGGTTCGCCTTTGAAAGGTGGAGCGGATGACAACGTTTCTATTACAACTACTACAAATCCCAACAGTAAGCCGATAAGGGATTCGACAGGCAGGGGGTACACTCATTCCCGATATTCTACCTCTTCTTACGGAAGAAGAGTTCTTTGTCCCGATGAGGCTCGCGTCATGCAATTAGCCGATCAGATCGTTAAGTATGTACCATGTTTATGGGAGTTTAATGGTGATGGGTTTAGTAAAATGAGGATTCTTAAGAGACGGCGAAACAACACAATTTCTTGTTTCTTTTAAGTTCTTACAATTCCATTTAATCCCTGGTTTTGAGTTTTTAAGAAAGAAGAAGAAAGCAACTACTTTTAATGTCGGGTGTTTGGTATTTTGTCTGGTAGCTATTCGTTGGTTTATTGGTGCATGATTCAGCTTGTTGCATCATCTAATTTTTTTGTTAAGTTTTCCCTATCGATCCCCTTTTTTCCTAGGAAAAACAAGTCGTTCAGACCACGCGAGAGGGGTAAAAAGGGTCTAAAGAATCTTCAGTCGGTCAAAACGCTCGCAGGTAGAACTGGATTAGCTGCGGCTGGCGCACAACCCGGAAAGTCTCGTAAACAACCACTCACAGTAGCCGCCCAATTTCAACAATCCCTTCACTCTCTCATGGACACCTTAAACCAAGCAAATCCGTATTTTATCCGATGTATCAAGTCAAATGGTAATAAGATTCCGAACGAATTCGACAACGATACCGTGCAACGTCAGCTTCGCTACACTGGAATGCTGGAAACTGTTAGAATACGTCAGGCCGGGTTTAACGTGCGACTGACTTATGACGAATTTATTCAACTCTATCGCATTTTGCTTCCGAAAGGGCTTCTCAGTTCTCAGACAGATGTTCGGAACTTTTTACTTACTCTCAATCTGAACAGAGACAACTACCAACTAGGAACAACAAAAGTGTTCCTTCGGGAATCTGAAAAACATAAACTCGATGGTAAATTACATCAGCAAATCATGGCCAGCATAATCACTTTGCAACGCTGGTTCCGTGCATGCCTTGAACGAAGACGATTTCTACGATTGAAACAGGCCGTGATCGCTTTGCAATCCCATTGTCGAATGTTTATTGTTCAGAAACAAATAAAAAGGGTTTATGCGGCAATGAAAATACAGAGGTGTTGGCGAGGATACAAGGCACGGTCATGGGTGCAGAAACTTAAACAAGGACTTGTCATGTTCCAAGCTCTTGCGAGAGGATACTTAGTGAGAAAGTACGTCTGTCAGAGGCTTCGAGAACAAAAGGAGGTAAATACTTTTAAAAAAATAATGTTTGTACATAGGTAAAATAATGTTGAATTATTCAATTTTTATTTCAAAAATAGAATATGAAAGTTCATATTTATCGTAGTAGTACATACAAGCGTTAAATGAACATACCTCTATAAAAAGAATTCTCTCCAGAAACTTTTACCAAGAAATCTATTTACAGCAAAAATTACGACACAAACAACCTGAGGCTTCAACAAAAACTTTATGTAATCCGCTCACTCCTCCTGTTTCCGTTTATGATCAGTCACTGAAACCTCTGAATTCGTAAGTTAGCTTTCGTTACTTCGTTAAACATTCCTGTATAGCTGTTTATTATTTAGGGAAAGTGTCGTAGAGAATGGAGAAACGAAACTAAAGCAAAATCTTCGCTGCACTCAATCATTACCAGTAGGCATCATATCAATTCAGTCAAAAAGTATTGAAAAGGAAAGGGATCCACAGAACAGTTGGTAAGGTTTATATTAAATGATTAATGAAATGGAAGTATTCACGTTTCATTTCTTTTTTCAAGGTTTGGAGATTTACGTAAAGAAGAAAACGTTCAAGCTTATAACCCTTATGTAGTATCAGAAACTCAACCGTTCCAACGAAATTCTATTCAAAATAGCAGTTCGGACTTGGAATCGCCTGGAAAACAAAGCAGAAATAACAATAATAACAGATTAATTAGCGCTATTAGGCGCCGTGATAATTGGTCGCCAATTTTATCATCACGTAGCGAAACTGATCTTGAAAGTGGAGCCATAGCATCTGCGCCCGCAGAACTCGGTGGTCGATCATCTGTTTACGAAGACTTATGGATGAAACATTCATCATCAGAGGCAGAGAAAGAAAATCAACAGCACTCTCCAAAGAACAGATTTCTTAAAGACAGAATTCATACACCACTTAAAAGAGAACTAAGAGTGAACGATATGTCAGGAGGCGTCATCCGAGGCTCTCCTGATGGTCTTATAAGTTTACCTCCAGTGAGACGAAGGGAAAACTCGGATTCGGTACGGAAAAGTGAACTGGCTAAAATTGTTCAAACACATAAAGAAGAAAAACTAGCGCAAACTAAACCGGAAATACCACTGAGGGCGGATCGGAAAAAATCTAAACGTGACCTAATAAGGAGTTTGGGTGAAGACGTATCAGATTCAAGTGCAATAGAACGCAGTCTAATGTTGGGCACCATCGAAGAAACGAATGATATTAAGCGGCAGAGAAGTGCAGAAATAGCAACAAAACTTCTACAGAGTGAAAACGAATGGTGCACATTGTCGAAACAAACATTGACGCCGAAACGCACGCGCAGTAGCTTCACGCCGCTCGATCTAAAACGACGCAACTCTGATCCAGCCACGAAAGTAACTTTAGAACATCACCACGGGGATGCGCAGCAAACCCAGTCAAAAACGAATAACGAACTCGAATGGAAAAACGATAACACGTTCATGATGGCCGGCCACTGTTTTAGTAAAGCTAAGAAGACGAACAAAGATGAAGTTTGCGCATTTTGTAACGAGGCGACCGACTTGTTTTATATGCAGGGTCATAAGTGCGCTTACTGTAAGAAATTATTTCATACCAAATGTATACAAAATAAGAGTGTACTTCAAATGCCATGTGCCGCTTCTACATCCGAAGGGAACAAACCGGGCCGTAGGAAACATAGAAAACACTCCCGTGCACCTTACGATGTTGGGAAACGGTCTGAAGCGAGCAAATTTAATTTAACTGGCACTTCTGAGTTTACAGACAGCGCAGATCAAATCATTTCTGATGCACGGGAATTCGAACTTATGCAAGACTTTATCACAAGCAAAATTTGCAAGATGGAGTCGGAAGCAGGGAAGAATCCAAGCGAAGTTGATCGTGTGTTTAAGCAAGCTTTGCGAGAATTTAAGGACAATTTAGTTCAGATTTACAGCACGGCGAATCAGCACGGCACGGGTGACATTAAATACAAAGATCTGATTGCGAATTTTATTCATGCAATGCATACGGTTTGTAAACAAGAAGAAAAAGATGAAGATTTTCCCGTTACAATGGGCGTGAATGCGTTCCGTGGTTTCATGAATGAGTTCATGACATCACGTGTCGTAACTGAAAAGCCGAGCAAACTTAAACGAAAAAAGGACAAAAAGCGGAAAGACGACGAACTTATCAAATTTGCTGGACATCGGTTCTTGCTCACCATTATTAATATACCAACAGCTTGCGAAATATGTAATTCTTTTTTTATGTGGCCAATTGAGCGTGGTCTTGTTTGCCAGTCGTGCAAATTGACATGTCATAAGAAATGCTATACGAAGGCGTCTAGCACTTGCGTGAAGGATGCCAGTTTCTCAACGTCTGAAGGCAAAAATAATAAAGTTTTTGGGGTCCCATTGGCTGACTTACTTACTGACGACTGTAAAATACCGAGTGTTATCGAACGCTTAATTACCACCATTGAAATGTATGGTCTTTACACAGAAGGTATTTATCGAAAGTCTGGCGTTAATTCAAAAGTACGCGAACTTAAAGCCAGAATGGAAGAAAACCCCAAAGATGTTAACTTTGAAAATTATCAAGTCAACGTGCTTGCGTCTGTTCTTAAGAGTTTTCTGCGTGAAATGCCTGAACCCTTGCTCACATTCGAATGCTACGAGAACTTTATCACGGCCGCAATGCTGAAAGATACTCAAGATCGAGTTTCGACCCTTTACGATATCCTTAAGAAACTTCCGAAGCCGAATTACGATCTGATGGAGAGACTCATCTTCCATTTAGCAAGGGTAGCCCTACATGAAGAAACCAATCGAATGAGTGCTGCTTCTTTGGCAATCGTTTTTGCCCCTTGTATCTTGAGGACCAACAAGCTAGTACCGGCTCAGGATAGTTTGCACGACATCTCCAGTCAGACGCAGTGTATAGAGACCATTATTAAAGAACAATTACGCAAAGTGCGAAACACTTTGGATGATATTGATACACTTGATACAGCATGTCAGGCTGCTACCAATAGATTATCTTCATTGCGGAGTTCTAAAGTGTTTACGCAAGAAGAGATCATGTTGCCCCAGAATCAGCATCCGGATGACGAGGAAGCGATGCTGGTCGGTCATATTGAGGAAATTAAGAAGGAAAAAGAACATCTGGCATCTACGTTACCCACTCTTACAAATGCCACCTCTGACGACGACATGTTGTCGACCGATTTAGATGGGGAAGGAAGTTGGGACGACGTTTCTTACATAGGAGAACAAAAGAAGCCCAAGGTAAAAAGTATGTCAGCGCGTGGTAGCAGTAGTGGTTCAGGAGCAGAAGGTAAATTCATCTCAACACAGCCGCCCAAGATTAAACGACAAAATTCGGCTGATATAGTGCGAAATTTGGATGAACACGAAGACCCCATTATGGTGTGAATGATGAACAGGTAGGATTTTTTAATGGACAATAAATAATAATCGTGTTAACGTGTAAGAGAAATGAGTAATTAAGAAACCATGACAATTTTTGATACGTTGTAAAACGTTCGTTTCTTGGCGTACTTTGGTCTGGACTTTTGCTAGATATAAGGAACAGGTAAAATATTTTTACTCGTGCTCAAAAGATTTCTTCAATAGAAATGTCTTAAAGTTTTTTGTTGCCTGTCATATAAATCTATTATTCAAAAGATTTATATTCTTTTTCAATTTTTTTTTTGGATTTTTCATATTAATTGAAAATTTATTAACTACAAAAGACATTAAAGTTTTTGTAACGTTTCTGCAATAGCATTTAAACTAGTTCTAACTTAAAATTAGACTGATCATTTCTTATTTGCTAATAAATATCTGAAAAATGATTTAGTCTAATTATAAGTAATACTCATAAAATGATAATAAATCACGGGAGATGATAAACAAAATGAACTTATAAATATTTTTGTTAAAATGAAAGAAATTTTGTGGTTAAAATAATTTTAAAAAATGCTCAGACATTGCATTTCATATGCTACATATACATATTTCCGTGAGAGGCTGTAGTAATTTAATTGAATCATAAAAACAGTGTCAACGTCCTCTATACGGTCTCAATCCAATTTCATTTTTGCCTATAACTAAATAATTGCAATAGGTACGATGTTATTCAACAAACCAAGTTCCTTTGTAAAGTCACCCATATTCAAATAACGCATCCCTCATTTTTTTACTTGGAGTGGGGAGAGGCACAGGGTGTATTCTGTGGATTCGTAATGCTTGAACAATCTTTCCCCTGTTTTTTCGTTTAGCGAGAAGATTAACATAAACAATTAATATAAAACGTTTTTGATTATAGCCTAGTTTATTACTAGACGTTTTTCAGAAATTTTTGGTAAATTACTTAATGAGTGGTATCCATAAAATTGAATTGTTAGCCTAGTATCACACTCTTAAAGTTAGCCACCTATTTGAAATTCATAAAAATTATGTAATGAATCTCAAAACGTTGAGTGTGTTTTTTTTGTGTACCTATGTACTCATTCCTGGTTGATTCTTTTGTATCATAAATATGAACGTATCTTCCAGCACTACAGTGTCTACTTTCAACAATAGGAATCTTCTTAGTGATTGATACACGCATATAAATATTCATCTTTCGTGAAGTTAAGTCTGATACTAAGGAATCTGTCGTTTTTGAAAGTAGACACTCAATATTGGGGGTAGATATAAATACGAAAATCTGTGTGATAGAGATAGTCAATGTTTGAAATTCTATTCACATTTTTATGCATTTCAAATTGAGTGGCTATTTTGACTATTTTATGCATACCATCCATTAGCATTTGTCCTTTTTGGAATTCTTATATACAAATTTGGTAATTTATGATTAATATGTTAGTAGTAACCCAGATTTGAACTACGAGATAACGGAAATGTTTACCTGATTGAAAACAAGCATATTTACTAAACTTCATGTTTGATTTAATTTAGCATAGCAAAGCATTATCGGCTTGTTTTGACGATAATAAAGTTTTCGATTCATAATATAAATACTTTATATTTAAAAATTTTCTTGTTGACTCTATGAATGATAATTATTCAACTTCCCCCTATTGTTACGACGTTCGTGTTAAGAAATATTTAGTTGATAAATTTATATGCTATTCTGTTGACTTCAAGTGCTGGGAACAAGCTTTTCATAAATGTATAATTACAATGTTAAGTGTATTTATATCGATGTTGAAGTGTGATATTAGGAGGAAAGATTGTTGTATATGTATTTTTTTAAGGTATATTACAAAAAGACGTTGCGCTGTATAGTTGTTCTTTGCATCATTTTTTACTGTTAAATGCTCATTTACATAGTATTAAACACTTGTATTGTTATATTTGCGCATTTAAGAGATTGTTAATAACATTTGAGTATTGTTTCGCATTTATTAATTAACGGTGATTATAATCATATACTTTACATTTTTACGATTACTAGGTTTTTTGGATTTGAAAATGCCATAAATTATCCCTACCTACATGTTGTTTTTAAATAAGACGAATACGATTTGAATTTTTTTCTAAAATGTTGCTGAGATAGGTAACACGAATGAATCGAACGATGTGTCCCGACGGTAATTTATTTCTATTTTTTCTATTTTAATGATTGATTTATAAAATATTAGGAAATAATCGTAACGATGATAAGTGGTACAGTTATTAAACGGTAAGCAAAGACTACATTCCATGTTACTTAAATGGACTTGAATGAATAATTGTACTAAAACTTCTGTGACTGACTGATTAAATATATTTGTAGTTTTCCATTTATGTATAATAATGTACATATTATATACCAAATGCCATAATTGCAGTTTTGTTATACATGAATATATTTTTGTGAGTATGTGTACATAAAAAATCCATAAGTTAATCTTTCTCAAAATAAATTATTGTAAATAATTTTTCAATTTTTTTTTTATAATGCCCTTCAATTTCAAGATGTATTAATCTACATTAAAATATAAGGTTCATAGTTTTAAGATTTCAAAGATATTTATAGGGAAATAGTAATTAAAAATTGGGTCGTGTGTTAAAGTAATCGGTTGCTTATTTTTTGAATGCTCCTTATATAAATTTGGGAAATTTTCTGAATAGTCTTCGTATTGTGTGTTAATTAATTATATTTTAGGATTAAAAATTGCACTATGTAATTGAGTAATTGTTAGGAAACTAAAAACCTATTTTTTTACAGTATGTTTTAAAACATAATAATCAATAATTTAAATGACTACGATATTTATTAAAAACCACGAATATTGCAGAAATGATGGTTCGAAGAAAGAAAGTGAATGTAATCTTGTTATCGCGATATCAAGGGCAGCGCATACACACACACAGGCATATGTACAATAAGTTTGACCGTGCTGTTTACTTGGATGTATAAATGGAAGAAAGAAATAATATTGTGAATCTTGACGACAAAAAATATTGTAAGCACATTGTGCTAGTTTGATTTTACATTATTAGTGCGTATTTATGTGGGTATAAGAAAATAAGTTTCATTTACGATTAGTTTAAATATATTACGGATATTGGTGGCTATGTTGTGTATTATATATGAGTATGTGTTTTAAAAGTGTGTGCAATAACGGTATTAAGGATGATATAATTGTTAAATATTCCTCTGCGATTTAGGCGAAGCTTTTGTTTTGAGGGAATTCAAACTTCTTTTACCTGCTCTCTCATTGGAAATCATTGATAACAGGATATAACAGCAGACGTGTGTGGGATAAGGAAAGGATTTTACCGATACGGTAAGTTATTAATTTTTTTTTTGTAGGTGTTATGTTGGTGTTTGAAAAACTAAATTTTTATGAGAAATTGTTTATTCTTTGATGGTTTACAAACATAATTGGCTTTACAAATACTTACTCTTCGATGATTGAATTTTAAATTGAAATTAAAATAGGCGATTTCCAATACTGCAATGCGAGGTTATTTGTTTATTAAGAAATCGCAAAGTTTTAAAATGCCCTAAAAAGTGAGCTTTTCAGAAACATACATACAACTGTATGTGCAATAGGTACGATGTTATTCAACAAACCAAGTTNTGAAACTGTAGTTTTGAACTTTGATAACGCATTCGATGCACCGAAATCTGCACTTTCAAATGGTTCGAACAGCTTGTAAAATTTACTTTAAATAATTGAACCACAGTCTAAGTTTATAAGAAATTCGCCAATTGTATCATTTTCAGGGTCCATTGTAGCACCGTCGCAAAGGGTAATTGTGAACTTTGAAAATGCATTCGATGCATCGAAATCTGCACTTTTAAACAGTTTAAACCGCTTTTAAAATTAACTTTAACTAAATGAACTACAGCCTATCAAAGAGACCTATGTTTATAAGAAATTTAGACAATTTGATCATCTTCAGGGTTATTTGTGACACCGTAGTTTTGAACTTTGATAACGCATTCGATGCACCGAAATCTGCACTTTCAAATGGTTCGAACAGCTTGTAAAATTTACTTTAAATAATTGAACCACAGTCTAAGTTTATAAGAAATTCGCCAATTGTATCATTTTCAGGGTCCATTGTAGCACCGTCGCAAAGGGTAATTGTGAACTTTGAAAATGCATTCGATGCATCGAAATCTGCACTTTTAAACAGTTTAAACCGCTTTTAAAATTAACTTTAACTAAATGAACTACAGCCTATCAAAGAGACCTATGTTTATAAGAAATTTAGACAATTTGATCATCTTCAGGGTTATTTGTGACACCGTAGTTTTGAACTTTGATAACGCATTCGATGCACCGAAATCTGCACTTTCAAATGGTTCGAACAGCTTGTAAAATTTACTTTAAATAATTGAACCACAGTCTAAGTTTATAAGAAATTCGCCAATTGTATCATTTTCAGGGTCCATTGTAGCACCGTCGCAAAGGGTAATTGTGAACTTTGAAAATGCATTCGATGCATCGAAATCTGCACTTTTAAACAGTTTAAACCGCTTTTAAAATTAACTTTAACTAAATGAACTACAGCCTATCAAAGAGACCTATGTTTATAAGAAATTTAGACAATTTGATCATCTTCAGGGTTATTTGTGACACCGTAGTTTTGAACTTTGATAACGCATTCGATGCACCGAAATCTGCACTTTCAAATGGTTCGAACAGCTTGTAAAATTTACTTTAAATAATTGAACCACAGTCTAAGTTTATAAGAAATTCGCCAATTGTATCATTTTCAGGGTCCATTGTAGCACCGTCGCAAAGGGTAATTGTGAACTTTGAAAATGCATTCGATGCATCGAAATCTGCACTTTTAAACAGTTTAAACCGCTTTTAAAATTAACTTTAACTAAATGAACTACAGCCTATCAAAGAGACCTATGTTTATAAGAAATTTAGACAATTTGATCATCTTCAGGGTTATTTGTGACACCGTAGTTTTGAACTTTGATAACGCATTCGATGCATCGAAATCTGCACTTTCAAATGGTTCGAACAGCTTGTAAAATTTACTTTAAATAATTGAACCATAGCCCATCATAGAGACCTATGTTTATAAGAATTTCGCAAAGAGTAATTGTGAACTTTGAAAATGCATTCGATGCATCGAAATCTGTACTTTTAAACAGTTTAAACCGCTTTTAAAATTAAATTTAAATAAATGAACTACAACCCATCAAAGAGACCTATGTTTATAAAAAGTTCAGAAAATTGTATCATTTTACAGCGTCATACTTTGCCGAATGGTGGGTTGCCTATATACAGGACGAGCAAGTTCAAAGCTGTACATTTTTAAATTCAAATTATGGTTCCTTCGCGCGAAATTAAATAAGTGCGCTATGGTAACCTACTAATTTAAACTTAGAGTAAAAACTACAAACATGCATACATTACATAAATCGTTTGTCAAAATGTTTAGTCAGTTTTTTTTGTGACGATGATGTCTACTCTCTATACCGAATCTAAAACATTACAATTAATTCTAAACATTAATTACAGTGAGATAGCGAATATTAAATGCTTTAGTGGCAGCAAATACTCAAAAATGACGATATACTGTCTATATTTGGATAATACAGGTGTTATAACTTGCATATTTTTTAAAATTCGTTTGCCAGATTTTAATAGTTTTGATTGTAGGGAAAGTAGATAAAACATGTAGTTATATTTTTTATGACAATGCTATTTATCCTCCTTTTGAACTTAAATCTTTCTAAACTAAAAGTTTCTGATTGTAAAAATTACAAGCGTTTAAAGTCGCATACTTTTTAAAACTCTTTTGTCAGTTTTTGATAATTTTGTTTGTAAAAGGCGGGGACAAAATGTGTAAAGTTAGGCGTTTTATAAGGGTGCTCTTTACTCTTCCTTTTGAACTTGAGACATTGCAATTACTGTTAATAAAAATTGCAAGTATTAAAAGTTGCATATTATTCAAAATTTGTTACTCATATTTTAATAATTTTGTTTGTAGATGGCGAGAACAAAATGTGAAGTCAAATTTTTATAAGGACCATTTTTACCAATCCTTTACCTAAAAGTTTGCAATTTCTAATAGTGTAAGTTATAGGTGTTAGAATAAGTATATTATTCAAAACTGCTTTGTTAGATTTGATTTGTTAATTTTGTTTGCTGAGGTCGGGAAAAAAATGCGTAATATTAGATTTTTTTTAGGGGTGCTGCCTACCCATTATTTTGCACACAAAACTTTGCAATTTCCGAAAGTAAAAATTACAGGTGTTAAAACTTGCATACTTTGCAGAATTCGTTTGTAGGGGTTTAATAATTTTGTTTGTAGAAAAAAGGGACAAAATGCCTGCCCTTCCTTTTGAACCTAAATATTTGCTATTTCTGATAGTAAAATAAAATAGTGATAATGCATTCGATGCACCGAAATCTGCACTTTCCAATAGTTTAAACGGCTTTTAAAATTAACTGCAAATAATTGAACTACAGCCCATCAAAGAGACCTATGTTAATAAGAAATTTAGAAAATTCGATCACTTTCAGGATCATTTTTAGCACCATCGGAAAGTGTAATTTTGATCTTTGACAATGCATTCGATGCACCGAAATCTGCATTTTCTAATACTGTAAACCGCTTTTAAAATTAACTTTAACTAAATGAACTACAGCCCATCAAAGAGACCTATGTTTATAAGAAATTTGGACAATTTGATCATCTTCAGGGTCACCGTTGGAAAGTGTAGTTTTGAACTTTGATAACGCATTCGATGCACCGAAATCTGCACTTTCAAATGGTTCGAACAGCTTCTAAAATTACTTTAAATAATTGAACCACAGCCCATCATAGAGACATTTGTTTATAAGAAATTCGGAAAATTGTATCATTATCAGGGCCATTTTCGAAAAGTCTAATTTTAAACTTTGCAATTGCATTAATGCATCGAAATGTGCGCTTTTCAATCGTTTAAACCACTTTTAAAAATAACTTCAAATAATTAAACTATAGTGTCTCAAAAAACACAAAGCTAGAAGGAATTGGCTTGATTTTAACCCAAAAAGACCCCAAGAGGCTGAATCATCTGACCATGATAAGAAACTCACATCTGTTTGTTTTAGACTATTTTCTTTCATCGTGACCATGTTTTTGTTGTTTTGCGAGTAAAAATAAATAGGTAATAGTATTATACGGACAATTATTGTCTACCGATGCGGTCAATCACGTAATACAATATTTTTTTCTTTTAATGATTCAGGAATTTATTTTGTGCCTATCTTTCAGGTTTTTTTATTTTACATATTTATTAAGAGTCCTGTAGGGCTGGAGATATGTAATTTATTTGAAATACTTGCATATTTTACTACAGGTAATTTACTAAGCGGAAATACACATTGTTTTTTTTATTTTGAAAATTTCGAACTTTATTAGTGAAGTTTATAACTCTAGTAATAAATAATTATTTAACTCCCTACTCATGTATCTTATCAAATGCTATCACATGGTCAAAATTTTAACAAAGCTCAGGAATGAAACGGTAGGTACAATAAGAAAAAAAGTTAATAAATAGAAAAGCAAAACTAATTTTACATTATGTTTATTATTTCGGTTTTATTCGGCTTACTATTATAATATTTAATCAGGCTTCGTGAACCAATGAATTGTCATCGCTTCGTATTCGGTTTAAAATTTCCGAACTCGGGCTTAGTTTCCATCGAGGTTTGCTCGATGTAGTAGTAAATAGCGGTCGGTTGCGATTTTATTCAATTATAGTGGAAAATAATATAAATTGTTGCGTTGATAGTAAGATATTCGTGTGTATTTAATGTTGCCAAGTTAGAATGTCTTACCAGGGGTCAGGAGTCCCTTTTTACCCTTTAAGGATTACTTACGTTGGTCATAAACTTCTCTTATATTGCTTTAAAGGATATATAAGGATATCCACCACATTTACAATTGGNTTTAGTAATAAATTTTCACGATAAACTCAACGGAATTTTTTGATGATTTGAAAAATTGACTTTTCAAGCTTACTTTTTCATAAGCATTTTTATGTTTTACTTTCGTCTCAGATTATACCTCAGGAGCTTAGGAACAGTCGCAAAGCGCCCGAGTTTTGAATTGTCAATTCAAAAATATATGATAGTTATTAATCATATCATTTTATTTTTAAATTAGCATGATCCGAATTCAGCCGAACGTATGTGGAAAACCTGCGGTAATTATAGATGGACAGATAGATGTGGAAAAAAACTTGGTGTTTTCTTTTTACTAATTAAGTTATATTGATGAAAATAGAAATAGGCAAAGTTCAGATTTTCCAAAACATCTCAAAATAGAAAAAAGCCACAAAGAGAAGAATAATTTGAAATGAGATTTGTTGGTAGCATTAAATTCTGCAAAATATTCCATGTTGTACTGTTGCTCTATTTCTTCTAACATAGATACATACATACATATTTACATACAAAAAGAAAAATTTTGACTCACTTAGTCATCGACTCATCATAAGCTAAACTCTTGGTTATAGATAGCGGAAATTTTACAGAGCGGTTTCTTTTAATAATCTATATAACGAATAAGAAAAGTTACTTGGAAATTCAATCCCTAAGGGGGTGCAAAGCGGTAGCAATGTTTGTATGGAACTTAGTCTTAATGCTCTTTAGGTAATATAATTAATCAAACACTTAAAAAATCATGTATTTTCTATATTTTGGATTAGATACATAATTGTCGTCTCATTAATTAAGAAAGCCCGCCTTACGTAATATCAGAAATTTATGAGAAAGTCTATTACATTTATAAGTTTTGAATTTAATATTTGACTTTATTGCAGATATTACCGAAGGAGTTTCATAGGAAAGAGAGAGAAAAAAATTGTAATACCAACCGCCCCAATTGCTATCAGAACGGTGAGTTTTTTCTCATTTATTACTTACATGTTTTCCATTTTATATCCGTTTTATGTCTCCAAAAATTAAAAGGATCATTTCTAACGTTTTCTTTGTTTGAATTTTGCGTTTTACGATAATAAATAGTACATTTGAACTTCATTTTCGTAGCATTTAAAATTTACAGATTTAGTTTTACGCATTTCTTCATTTGTTTGCGCCAATAATTTCTTTATAATTTATACACATAATTTTAGTAGTAAAATTTAAAATTTTAAATGAATTCTGCGTATTGAAATATTTTCATTATCGATGGTTTAAACTTTAACAGATTTCAATCAGAAATTAGAATAGGTTTGCTGCAAATAATGTGGAGTCAGCTCTTATAAAATTAGGAAAAATTCAAATATTGCCAGCTTTCTAAATATTTTCAAATATTTATTTGGAAAATTTGAAAAAAAAACGTCTTTTTAACAGATTAAAATCCGGTTAAAACTGGAATTGAAACACGCAAGCTATAGCAAGTTTGGTCATTTCTTAAAAACTCCATTATTCTAGACTGCCAAAGCCTATTTTTAATATCTAAATCATACATTTTCCTATAATTGAGAATAATTTATATTTATTACCGAGATTATCGTCTATCCTTTTTATTATCGAAATACTCGCTCTTACTAGTTCAATATTGCTATTTTAATATACATAAATGGTATAGTTGTTGCTTTATGATTTGACGGCATGGAAGCAATATTACTCGTTAGTTATTATAAAAATTGCAAATTATAACAGCAGCCGGCATATCGACCTTCATCTGGTTGCTTTGTACGACACAGGGTCGAACTTCTTAAAAGCTAACTATGAATTTTGAATATTACTTGTTTACGTTGTCTTTGTTGTAAATTGAAGTTAAATTCTTGACCGTTAATATTAAATTATGTTGGTTTTTCCAGGATGGCGATCAAATAATTACACAACTATATGTTTTTTATAACGTTTCGGTTTATTTAACCATCTTCAGACTTTTAGAGTGTTACTGCTTATAAATTTATTTTAAAAAACATATAGTTGCAATTGATATAAATAAATTGATTAAAATAAATTTAATTGCTTGTAATTGCGGCTAATTTTTTATAGGCAACCCTGAACTAATGTATTACATTTTCACTAATATTTCTTTTGAAGTGCGTTTCATTGAAAAAACTGATACTTTCACAATTAAGCGGTGGGATCTTAGGGTATGGTTTGTTTTTACAAAATTTAATTTATCAGGAATGGAAATCAATTGTATTTTTATGCCAATTCGGACAGCCCTAATATATTTAGTGAAATTACTCGAAAAATATATATGTGGTTTTCGTAAAATGTTTATCTATTATAAAAATTGTTAATTCGTAACTTTTGTTATTACCGAGTGGGAAGGCGTTACCCATGAATATAATTAATTCAATGTGCAATTTGTTTACTATGTACTTTATTGTACCTATCGGAAAAAGTATAGGTTTTTGACTNAAAAAGATTTTTACTTTTATTTATAAAAAGTAGGTTGAACATTATTTGAAATATAAATAGAATGCTTTGTAGCCTTATAAATAGAAATTTAAAATGAAATAAACTAAATAACATAATTTAAAGGTTTTATTATTCAGTTAAAAGCATGTAGGTAGCTTTGAAATTTGAAACTTCTAGGTGAAATTGTGTTCTGTTAAAGGCAAATTTATTTTATTTTATCTTTTAGTTTAGAAAAATATATTAATATTTTATAACAAGTCATGAGAAACGGAGTCATTGGAAACATCTAACTAAAATTTAGCTAAAAGACAGAGAATATTACAGAATTAGGTAAAAATTCCAAACGCATTTTAATAGGCAATTATTTGAAAAACTGAGGAAAATTAGTAATTCTAACTTAGAGTAGTCTTTATTTACCTTCTTGTCATTAATTATCAACTGATTAAAATTAAATATACCACAGACTTTAAGAATAAAAAATCTAAATGTAGAATATACCTAGCTAAAAAAATATTTGCTTTTTATTAACTAACCGATAATTATTGAGTTAAATTTCATTTTCCGATACAATTAACTTCTAATTAGATAAATATTACCTCATCAGGTGTATTTTTTACTTTCAATTTATGTAGTAATTACCTAATTTATCAGTAATTTTGCTTGGCTTACTTAAAATGTCACTTTCACTACAGTTTACTTTTTCGGAATTTGTATAGAAATTTTGTTTTTTTACATGTCTGATTTGTATTTATTTCTGTTTACATTAAATAATATATGGTCGTTAACAAATAGCATGGGGTACATATTCTCCTTACAAATCCTATGAAATTTAAAAATCTGCATTTACATTTTATTGCTTTAAAAAGTGTGACTATACCATCTATATTTGTTATCAATCAAACTGATCGTGAGTGATGGTATTTTGTATTATTGTTTTAGTTTAGTTTAGAGAAATAGTATTATACATTTATTACTATTAATTAGTTGAGTCTGGTTTCTGATTTGTTCTTAAATATTCGTCATTCGGTCTCCATTTTCTAACTTGTAATTCTTTTCGTACAATTCATTTTTAATCACCCTCTGTAAATGTTTCTGAGACATTCTAAAACTTTTTGTCGACAGCGCAAGTTCGGCAGATAATGGTAACGATAAGCAGATGTATTCTACTGCTTTTTATCATGATTTAGAGAATGCGAGTAAATTTTATCATGCTTTATTCAACCTTTTAAGAATATTATTGTTTTGCTTGATTTGAACGTTTTATTAATAATAAGAAGTAGAATTTTCTGTCATTTAAAGTAAATTTAAATTATTCCAGTTATTGATGGAATTGTTAGCACACCATAACCAATCGTTTAATTGAATTTGAACAGTGTGTTTTAGATATTATTTAATAGTATAATGATTTTAAAAAATACATACTAATTGGGAAAATCGCTAAAATTCATTTAGGTAAAATATAAATATGTGTATGTATTTTTGTATATACAAAATACCACATATACTAAAAAAATAAATTGTAGTTGAAATAAGCAATCAACTTTGCCACAAAGAATTCGAGAAAATTTGAGATATTTGTCATCATTTGTTTATTATTAATTTACTAGGTGTATGTATTTAAAAGTGTGCTCAAGATACAAACAAACCTTAACTTAAACTGCAAATAAATTGACAATAAACAAACACGTTTAGTTTTAGTATTTTTTTTTAATTTATATATAGGGGAGACCTATGTTTA